CCCACCTGCCAGGCTACAGGGCAAAGCGACCGGCCCCGGCTCCGGCCAGCGTAGACTGAGTACCAGCTCACCAATAGACACTACAGTCCCTTCCTCCCTCAACAACTCCCCAGATCTCTCTACCAGGTCTCATGCCCCCATACAGCTCGAGTTGCAGGGCAGAGCGACCAAGCCCCAGCACCGACCAGCGCTGCTCTGGCCTCGTCCATTTGCAAACGTCTGGGAGCCAAGACATCAGCAGATGCCAGACAGGCCACCGATCATCACCATGGCTGTAGTTCCGATCCTCCACCTCCTTCAGGCAACCTCCAACCTGTTCACCATCACATGCCTACCAATGCTTATGGCGGCATGGCGAATGAGGTGTGCACACGAACACAAACAGCACACATTCGGGTTTATGGAAGCACGAGCATCAATCGCGGAAACAATAACGGTCAGTACCCATGCAGCCTGGCAAGATCCTGGAAACATGCTAACAAACGAACCGGATGCAGTCAAACGTAACGACCTCTCACACAACTTCCACACGTTATGGGTGGATAACGAACAGAGGCTCTGTGAACTGGACCCGGACAACCATCTGCGATGGAAACAGTGGCTATTAACGGAACCCCGATGGGAATGATTGCCACAAAACCACTTTGATATCCCTTTCCAACCAACTAACTTCATCCTTGTTACAAATTAGCGGTCTGTATTTTCGGATCTCATGACCCTGTGAACCCCCTGCTCACCCCTGCCTTTCCTTTGCGCATGCCCCACTGCCCCCCCCCTCCTGCCCCCCCCTTCTACTACTCTACCACCTTCCCCCTTCCCCACCTCACCCCCCCTCCGCCCTGATGCTGATTGCCGGCCAAGCAAGGACTCCCTCCCTCTCAAGACGGACCCCATCAATGGAGGAACAGCAAAAAGAAACATAGGCAGCGTAAGGAAGGGGCATGGAGCATGAGGACCAGGGCTATGCAGTCGCAGAACACTTGGATAATACTGGGAGACTGGGAGGGAAGGTTCAGACGGGTTTTGAGACCGAGGCAACAGGGTGGAGCCATGACAGCGCCACACAGCTAAGCTGACATCCAATCTCATATTGTTACAGCACCCCATAAGAATGCAGACCAGATAGCAGCAGGCAATAGGTGGGATGACAGTCAACAGGACTCAAGGGTTTAAGGGTTTAAGGGTTTAAGGGTTTAAGGGTTGAAGGTTTAGGAGACCTGCTGTAACACTTGGGCGTATTGGGAGCATAATTGGGTTGGTTAGAATTACCCCACTGACAAATGGACTAACAAACACACATGCATGTATCATAGGAACACACTCAGGAACACTCTCAACCACATTATACACAGCACTTCGTGATACGGAACAAAAAGCACATGTGACAACGCCACCACCTATACACAGCAGGTGTCAACACCTTATAGAACATATACAGGCGTAGACACATCAGCATATGGCATCAAGTACATAAATAGTAATGGATAGTATTTGATAGTTAACAGGTTGCAATAACAATACTGGGCCATAATAATAACACTCTGAGCGACAGCTCGCTGAAGTCTACATTTAGAACAGATCTGAAGGAGGGATGGCCCCTTTGTCACCTGGCCCCTCAACCATACTGACAACGCATACTTGCATTGTTTTCGTTTCATAGCTTTCATTTCTTACATTGTACTCTACAGGGACGCTAGACCCGATTTCCAGCAGGTGATGCTCCCCACCAATAGATGGAAACTCCCCGACGGTGCTAGCGGTGTCTGCTCTTATCAGCACCCCTAGCAGCCGATCGGTTTGTTAAAAAAAAAAAAA